GCTCCCTCTGCAAGGGGAGACGGCGCCAGGCAGAGGTGAGCATGGCACAGCCATGCCAGCTGGTGGCTCTGCCCGGCTGTATGACCAGGGATGGGGGGGGCAACCTGGCTGCCCGCAGTACCCAGGCCATGGAGCGCCCTGAGACAGAGCAAAGCGGCGTCAGCCTGCACCATGTCAGTGGGGAGGCGAGGGGCTGAGCCTGCTGCCGGCCCTCACCGGGACAGCCCTCACCTCCATGTCCAGGGCTCTCCGTTCCTCCTCCAGGTTTTCAAAGATGACGTCTATGAATTCCCGGAAAGGCTGAACCTCAGCAACCAGGGATGCCTGTGGGGCAAGAGAGACGGGTCAGCACTGCCGTGTGGTGGAAGAGCCACATTCCACAGCCATGGAGGGAAGCGAGCGCCTGCCCTGAGGCTGAATCTGCAGCAGCTTCCCAGCTCCAAGAAGCCTCTGGTGAGCCCAAGCCCATTGCAGACCATTGCTCAGAGCATCACTCAAGCTCAGACACGGAGATGCTCTTCCAGCCCCACTGGGGAGCCGGGTGGGAGGGAGCTGGAGGTGCCCAACCACTCAGTACCTGCTGGTCAATGGCATCCACCAGCAGCCTGGCCAGCTCTTGCTGGGAGGCCAGGCTCTGGTCACGGGCACCGATGCGGGCACTGGCATGGGCACGGAAGGCCTCCAGGAAGCGATCGCTCTGCCAAGGGAAGGATACAGCTCCAGGCACAACATCACACGAGGGGCAGCTCCCAACAGCCACCCCCACACACTCCAGCAGCCCAGAGCTCCCGCTCCCTCCCAGCAGGACACAGCCCAAGCCAAAAACCCATCCCGAAAGCTCCAGCTGCCCTGGGCACCCACAGCCCTTCTGGCTTTCCAAGGCCACATCAGGCTTTTCCTCCCCGGATACCAGAGACCTTCACCCCCCGCAGAGATGCGGGATGCCCCATCAAAGGCATGGAGATGGCACATCCTGCTCTGATCCCTGCTGCCAGCTGCTCCCCCCTACCTCCTCCTTGGCTCGGAGGGCTTCGTCCACTTGCTGTCTCATGGCATCCCGCTCCTTCAGGCAGCTCCGCAGCTTTCCGGGCACCCTCTCCAGCACAGCCTGGCACCGGGACACCAGGGCCCTCGCCTGCTCCCACTGCAAGGGGAGAGGGCGCCAGGAGGCACTGGGTATAGCCAACAGCTGCCATGTGTGCCAGTGTCTCCCAAAACCTAGGGGAAAGGGTGCCCACCCTGGCTGCACAGGGACTCACCTCGCAGTCAAGGGCTCCCTGCTCATCCTGCAACCTCTGAAACGCGGCATCTGCGAGGTCCCGAAACAGGAGGCACTGCCTGCTCCAGGCGCTCTGGGGAAGGGACAGGGCACCAGTGCTCAGGCGGTGCTCCCGAGGCTGGTACAGCCAGCACCGGGCACACACATGGCCTGCCAGGCTGAGACCTGGCACACTCGTGGCATGCCAGCCAGCTGAGACGCACCATCCCCGCAGTGGTTAGCTCCAGCTCCCGCTGCAGGTCCTGCTCCGCTCCCCGCTGCCGCTGCAGAGCCTCCGTTTTCCTCCGCAGCTCCAGGTAGAGGCTGCGGTAGATCTCCTCCTCCTGAGGGCATCCCGGCAGAGAGGAGAGGACTTCGCACCAGCCCTGCTCCACCCTGGGGGTCCAGCGAGAGCCATTTGGCTGTGACACCTCCCCACACGTGCCAGGGATGTTTCCCCACACAAAGGATTCAAATCCAGCAAACTCAGCAGGTCGAGCCGGGCGTGATAACATGGCTGGAGCAGCACCGGGCGCGTGACGCTGTGCCGTGCCGCAGCAGCCCCGCTTTACTTCTGCTCTGCCGGGCTGCGGTCAGGCTGGGGCCATCATCCCACTGGTGGCACGTGGGCACCATCACGGCATCGAGGCCATGGAAAATGGGGTGGCATTGCCCCGGCAAGGGCTCTTACCCCTTTGGGGTGGGTGATGTCCGTCTGCGTGAGTGCATCCCTCTGCTCAGCCGGCCCCACGCCGGGCCGCAGCCGCTGGCT